TCTGTCCGTCTGTCCCGCAGCCCCACCTGGCCGTCGGCAGCAATGACTTCTACATCTCGGTGTACTCGGTGGAGAAGAGGATCAGATGACGGCCCCAGGGGGGGCTCCTGTACATAGAGAAATCATCGACTTGAATGTTTCGTGTTGGCTGCTGCTGCACCCCGTAACTTGAACATTTGTTCTTCTGACTTAGCTACTGATGGGTTTGACAAGGGGAAGAGACAATCTCCTGGTTTTGTTTTGTTTTGTTTCCCAGCTATATCCTCTCAAAGCTACAGAAAAGGAACATTTATTTTTGTTTCCAGAGGTTGGCTGCTCTGTCAGAACACGGCTCCTGAGCTCCAGAGGACTCGGATGAGGCAATGCCCTTGAGAAGGGTCTCGTTTTAGTCTCTGTTCCTTGTTTGGCTGCAGTGTGGGTTCTTCAAGGACTGTCAGGACTCACTGCAGCTCCACAGGACCCTCCAGCTGCTGCCAGCCCTGTGCCAAACCCACTGCCGGGCCAGGGCAGCCACCCCAGCGTGGGATGAGCTGCCAGGGAGGCAGGGCAGCATGAGCCTCCTCCTCCTCCTCCTCCCTGCCTGCACCTGCTCTCACAGAAAGCAAGGACAGAGGGGGCCTGGTGGCCTGGGCAGGCAGGGGTCCTGCAGGAGGGGGCTCAGGGAGGTGGCAGGAGCAGGGCAGGATGTCCCACACCCTAAAGCTGCATGTGAGGATGAGGAGGGCAGAAAGGGAGCGAAGATCTCTGACATCCCAACGAGCCTGGAGCACATCAGTGGTGTCACCAGCTGCCACCAGGCCCAGGGTGCCCGTGGGGAGCTGGGGGCACCTGGGGCACTGCTGCCACTGTCCCTGTGCCACCTGCACAGCCACCGTGCCCATCCTGGGCTCTGTGTGCTCCCCAGGGCTGTGGGCACCAGGAGAGGCCAGGACTGGGCACCTGGAGCTGCTCACCACGGCTGGGGCTCCCCTGGCCCTGTGGGAGCAGGACTGGGAGCACCTGAGGATGGTGAGGAGGAGGAGGAAGGCAGCTCCGAGCTCCCTCGTCCCAGCTGTCCAGGCAAGGCCTGCTCCATCTCTGCACCTTCCACGTGTGAATAATGAATGTTTTGTGCCCTGGGATCCCTTCTGGGGCTGGGCATGGGTGTGGGAAGGCAGAGCACAGCCAGGGGACAGGTTTCCTTGCAGAGGGGCAGAACTCACTGAGGGAATTGCCAGTGTTCCCCCAGCAGTGCCACGGGAGCTGTGGGCTCCAGCAGGGTCAGGGAAGGGCTCAGGACCTTCTGTGAGTAAACTGGGGGGGATGCAGTGAGAGAAGGGCTCAGATCCCCTCTGTCCCTGTGCAAGAAGGGCTCAGATCCCCTCTGTCAGTGAACTGAGGGGATGCAGTGAGGGCAGGGCTCAGAACCCATGTGAGCTGCCAGCTGTGCTGAGGGAACACAGTGAGGGAAGGGCTCAGAACCTTTTGTGAGTGAGCTGCCAGCAAACTGCCAGCTGTGCTGAGGGGGTGCAGTGATGGAAGGGCTCAGAACTCTGAACTGCCAGCTGTGGTGGAGGAATGCAGTGAGAGAAGGGTTCAGAACCTTCTGTGAGTGAGCTGAGGGAATGGCTCAGAACCCCTCTGTCAGTGAACTGAGAGGATGCAGTGAAGGAAGGGCTCAGAACCCTCTGAACTGCCAGCTGTGCAGAGGGAATGCAGTGAGGGAAGAGCTCAGAACCCTTTGTCCCTGTGCAGGGGGAATGCATTGAGAGAAGGGCTCAGAGCCCTCTGTCCCTGTGCTGGCCATGCCTGCCCCATGCCCCCATGCTGCTGCTGGCCCTGGCACCGTGTCCCTGTGTGCCCCTGTGTGTCCCTGTGTGCCCCCAGGCCCAGGGGGCTCTGCCTGGAGAGGTCCCCAAGCACACTTTGGGTGCCCCAGCACCATCCCCGCCAGGGGTCACATCCCAGGATAACCAATCAAAGGCTTTAAACCCCAAAACTACCTAAAACCCCCCCCTGTAAGTTACCCAGAGTTAATTATGGTCTAACAGAGCTGTGCCTCATCCCGGGCTGCCCGCGGGGGTGGGAGCAGAGTTTGGGATCTCACCTAACCCTTAACACTCACAGCTTCAGAAAAAATGGATTTTTAACTCGTATCAGTGTGTTTGTGAAAGGAACAGGACATTCCTGGCAGTGGGAGCTGCGGCTCCTGCCTGGCTCTGGTGCAGCCCCACGCCCAGGACGGGGAATTTTAAGGAATTTTTGGGCTTTTACCTGAGCATGTGTGGGCTGTGCTTCCACAGGTCTGATGCAGAGATTCAATCATGGGATCACAGAGTTTAACCAAGGGTCTGGAGAGCGTCCTACCTTAAAAGTTCACTTATCTCTATTTATTTTACAAAAATAAAGTTTAAAAAAAAATATATAAAAACCCCCACACGATTGTAATGTGAGAGTAAAAACGATTACAGACAAATAAATGGTTAATAAAAAATAAATGCAGAAACACTTGCTGGTGTGAGGATCCTTCTGTGGGGCTGGGGGAGGCCCGGGAGGAGCCAGGTGGGATTTGGGGTGCAGGGCTCAGGGTCTGGCTGGTGCCATGGTGGGTGTTGGTGACAGATGTGCGTGCCAGCCTGGTGCAGCAGGAATGGCAGTGCCAGGGTGCCAATGCAGCTCTGGGCACTGGCTGCAGCCCGAGGGATCCGTGGATCCTGGCACTGCCAGGGACATGGTGGGCTCAGGGGCTCTTCCGCCCCAAACAATTCCATCACTTGGGAATGAATCAGTGTTATCCCTGTAACCCCAATGCCTACAGCCTCCCTCCGTACCTGCCATCCCCTAGGGCCTATTCCCTACATCCCACTCTCTATATTATCCCCATTCCCTATATTATTATCCTCATTCCCGATATTATTAT